AACCAGGGCTTCAATCCCTGGGCCTGCCGTGCCTGCCTCAAGCCTCAGGCATGCTGAGACAGCAATTGAGACTGGGCATGGTGGCACACGCCTGTAATCCCAGCTGTTGCGAGGCTGTAAACAGGAGGATCAGTATGAGTCTGATCTAGTAGTGAGACCCTGAACAGCCTGTAGACTCTTCCCTAAAATACAAAAAAAAAAAAGTAAAAAGAAAGTAAGCAAAAGAAAAAGAAATATAGGTAAGAGATGGTAGTGGTTTAGACTAAGCTGTTGTCATAAGAATAAAAGGAAATGGTCAGATTCAGGGTTCACTCCACGAAGGTTTATTTGTTTCTGACTGGAATGTGTCAAAACCCATCAATCTTTAAAATACAATAAACATTTAAAATATATTATACATTTTATCTGTCTTAACATAACAGATAAACTGCAGTTTTTGAGGAAACTGATATCTAATGGTTATGCTTTGAAGGTAAAACCAAATGGTCATTCTGATGCATTTGTTATGAGGAGGTAAACAAAAGGAATTGAATATAACTCACCAATTTTTGCTTTAAGCAACTGGGTGGTTAGTGTTACGATTAAATAAGATGGGAACTATTGTGACAGCTAGATTCCGGGTGGAATTCTAGTGATATATTTTTATGCTGTAAAGTTTAGAGGCCTATGAGACATAATGGTGTATGTGCTCATTCTCTTAATGAATAGAGGGATTTGTTCTAATGGTGTTTGTAGATAGGATATCATGTCCACATCTTGTACACCAATCAACCACTGCGAGGAATGTATGCAATGTGTTAATTATTGAAACTGTCCTACCAATTTGATTTGAAACTGTCTCATTGCTATTTGTTTATCAATAAAATTATGGAAAAAATTAAATTAAAAAAATAATAATGGTATATATGCTCAAGTGAGAAAAAATCTGCAAATATATTTGGGAGTGACCATAAAGCACATAATATTTTAAATTTGTAAAACTGAGTGAAATTCCACTACTGTGAGAGTGGAAATTAAAATGTTCTGAGAATGGAGCACTTTTTCACTTAGCATGCCTATCCAGAATAGGTTGAATAGGAAAAAAATTAGTAAAGTGGTTTGACCTTAGATATTACATGCAATTGCTTCAGTTGGGTAAGGGAGCACAGAAGATGATAGGTAAGAGAATTCTTGTTCATTGGAGCATTTTTCTAAT